TGGTGGCGACTGGCGGTGTTGTTCGGCAGTCCGACGCTGTAGCAACCTTAAACAAACGCGATCTTACCCATCCTACGGCACAAACTTGGTTGGGACGGCGAGCACAAAACCGCTTTGAGGTCAAAGAAAGTCTCCCCCCCCGACCTTCAATATGGAGGGTCAGTCCTTGCTGATGCTTAGTGAATCAGAAAAACAAGAAAGTTCGGATCAGGAAGGTTTGATGGGCAGCCTGTTTAGGTTTTCGAGGGACACCACAAGAGTAAGGCATATTTTGGGCTCCATATTCTGTTTTGACACACATCCAAGGAACCGTAAAATGCTTTGTGCAAAGGGAAGATGTGTGGATAACAGGCCTTTTCAGGCTTTCCAGAGAAACCTGAAGCACATCATCCCCCCCCCCCTGAGTGCGGAGGTTCCCATTCTGTTGGGCACCCACGTTTTGTGCGCCGTGGAACTTTCCGAAAGGAGCTCGAACTGGAGCCTTTCGGCCTGCAAGCAGGCCGATTGAATCGGCGGATGGGGCGGTGGGTTGGGAATGAATGGTCCTTTCTGGTTTCCACTAACTGAGAAGTTACCACCCTTGATGGCAAGACCGGATGTGTGTGTGTGTGTGTGTGTATATATATATATATGTAGCCAATTTAGTAGCCTTTTTGGTGGTTCATCCCCGTTTTTGACCTCTGAGACCCGGTCGTTGGGGTGGTGGAAGCCATCTTAGGCTCGACTCACCTTTGCCCAGCAAGGGGCCCTTGTGGCTTTCGACGGCATTTTCCCTTTCAGTCGGCATCTGGCCACTTTTTGCAGAGGGGCCCAATGGTCGTTCGAAGGTTCTTCACTTTGACGAGGATTCGCCTCTTAACCGAAACGGAACCGAGAAAGTCGTTTTTTGGAATGCATTGCGGCGTAATAAATAAGTTTAGAAGAACACAAAAGGAAGCCACACATTTCGGTTCCCGGTTCCCCTACTTAAACGGTCTGGGAGTAGGCTAGCTGAATGGTTGGTAACACGAGCTTTGGGGACTTAGAAGCATGGTAAGCATAGGTGTCCTTTTTGGTTGGTTTGCTCAAGAAATAGATGGCCCTGGTTTAGATGGCCCTGGTTTAGATGGGGTTTGCTCCATTTAACAGGGCCATGTATTTTTCGAAAGGCCTAGGATGGTAAGTGGGCAACAACCACAGCCAGTCTCACTTACTTAGCCAACTCCCACACAATGAAAACCGCCAAGCCAGGAGCTTCCCCGGAATAGATTTGTTGGGTCTTGATCTTATCATGCGGGTGGCATTTTTTAAGCGAAACACCTTGTTTATTTTTTCGTTTCCTTTTTTCTTTTCTTTTTTTTGGGGGGGTTCCTTCAAAGGTTCAGACAAAGCACAGGCGTCTCTTTTTGGGCGCATTTTTCCATGGGGTTCGCAGCTGGTTGGCAGCTCGTTCTGTGGGTCGGAGTTGGTGCCCTTCTCGGATTTTCAAAGGGAACGTCCTGAAGCATCAGAAAAGGACCCTCCATTGGAGTCCGGATCTCCTGAAGGTCTGGGACCAAAGGAAAGGCCCCTCTTCAGGTACCAAGATTCTGGGGGTAGCAACCCTGCGTAAAACCCACTTAATATTAGGGTCAAACAAGTTACCAATAGTTCACCCCATGACTGAATGTGGTTTGTAGCTGTTTTGGCGCGTACACTGTGCACTAAGCTACTGAGGGATCCACCGGATCGACCCGCATGGGGAGTTTTGATGGCAGTGCCACCCCCGGAAGCTCATCTGCCAAATGATTTTTTGGGTGTGTTTTCCCTGTGAGGTTCCACTGTTTGCCTATTCCAAGATAGACTTAAACCTAGGGGTTCTCGTTTTGGGGGGAATGAACCACCCCTGGGTTTAAGTCTACTCTAGGGTAGTCAAAAAGCAGAACCCTGTTCCCTGAAGGATGTGAAGCATCCCCTGCTAAATGCGACACCCATCTTTGACTTGCAGATATCGTGACCAACCCCTATTAATCTGGGTGCTAACTAGCACATGTGCCCATAAATTCTGACTTTTCCCAAAGACACCATACCGGAATGAACATTTGTTGTCTAGCCCCTCTATTCAACACCCACCGATCAGTCAGGAATTCATTGATCATGGATGCCCATTGCCCTCTGCTACATTGCAACACATGACCACGTGATCAAGGATGGTGCTCACCGAGTGATTCTGGCAATCACGAGAGCTCTCTCCAAAACCCTCCCAAAATGAAGAACCCTACAAGCGGGGGTCGCGTCAAATGGACGCAAGTCGCCCCGCTTTCCCGCCGCAGCATTTAGCGCCCGCCATTCCTGTAGCGAAGAAAAGCGAATCACGCGGACGGTAGGATGGCACCCACAGGCGTGGAGCGAGTGTTCTGCCTAGCCTTCCATGAGGACTAGGGACATGGTTTAAAACAGGTTCGTAGTTCGGATTAGTGAACTTAGATTTGGAAGCTGATGACCTCCCCAGTGTTGAAGCACGCTTTTTTTTTTTTTTTTTTTTCGGGGGGGGACAAGGGTCGGATTGTTAAAACGTTACCAGCTTCGCCCACCCCGAAGGGAAGGGGTTACGCTAGGGCATGACCTACTTACAGCAGGCCACTTGGGGGTTGTTTACGTATCCTCCAGATTGATCGTTGTTTGTCTTTTGTCTTGTTGAGGGGGCCATTTTCGGTGTTGCTTTAAAGGGAAACCAAAGGGACAACCGAAATCCATTTTCGGGGACCCCTATTTTAAGACAATTGGGGGTGGGTACTTGAAGATTTAGTCATGTTGGGAGACCCCAGGTCGTTTCAATCATGGGGGAAAGCATGCACCTCCTTGTTCTGAGAAACCGATCAAACGAGCAAAAAGATGCAGCCACGCTAAGAAAAGGTAAGGATGAACCCCACCCCAACAGAGTCACAATCAATACCTGGACGAGTGAAGGTTAGTAGGGAACAGTCCCAACCATGAATAGGTGCGGATATCCGCCCCTTGAACAACTCTGCACTTGTCTGATTTTGACTCAGAGGATGAACCCTGAAATTTTGAAAGACTCCTCCCCTCCGTTCCATTCACTGAGGCTGGGGTTTTGGCACGGTCCCAGCCCAGCACCCCGTTTTTCCAGTGGCTGGAGAGAAGTCCCTGAGCAAACAAGAAAAGTACCAACTGCTTGGAGAAAAGGTGGTGTCACTGCACTGCTCTTGGCGTACATTTGGTTTATTTTGGGGTAGGTGAATGCACCACCCATTTTAGAACCTATTTTAGTGGTTGGATTGCGACGTTCACTGGGGGTACAGGCTTTTGACCCATGGCCATTTCAGTCTTTGCTGTGATTTGCGTCCTTTTTAGTGGGGCTTCAACGACATTGGGTTTTTTGGCCACCATACCAACCCAATTGCCCAATGGCGCCGTTTTTCCTTTTTGGGGAAGGGGCTCTCCTTAAAATCAGCCAACCAATGAAGGCTGGCCTTGTCTCCCCAGGGCCAGTTGCTTTGAACCCGGCTTGAGCTCGGCAGGCGATGTCGCTGAGGACCGCTCGCACGTGACGTTGTGGCGTTTGTGCCAGGGTCAACGCTCAAGCAATCATTTTTCATGGGGCCTGGGGGGAGAGGGAGCCCCAAATAAGGCCTTATCAGGGGCTTACTAAGGGCTTATTGGCTCCCTCCCCCTCTCCTCCCTCCCCCCCAGCTCCCATGAATTTTGCTGGGGATGAGCAATTGAAGGGTTGATAGAATAGTGAAGGCCGCTGTTTGGACAAGCTGAGTCCATCCCTTCGGAACTGAGTTGCACACGTGCTAGTTGGCTTAATGCAAAGAGTTGCTTGAGCGTATTGGACTAATGATTCTAGTGGCCTGATAGGAAGGGTCATGGAGGGAAATGAGTTGCGCATGTGTCAAAGAGCAGGGTTTTTCATTCCAAAGGCACCCACAACCAGTGCCTGACTTTGGCCCCTTTCGCCTACACGGATGAAATTCCTGAAACCCGCCCAAAGAGATCTGCTTTCTGCTTGGAAGGGGGCCTGTTTGGTTCCATTGCAAGGTATTTTGAGAGGCAAACAAAACCCGGGGAGAGTGGCAACCATCTGTTGGGTCTTATCAATAGGCCAAGTGGCCTTTGTTCGGTGTCGGCCCTTCCGGTCAGTGTGGGGGACCATTTCTAAAGTCTCCATTTCAACACATCTTAGGGTCGACTAAGTATGAACACTTGAATCAACAAGTATTGTTTTGTATGTGCGCCGGTCCACAATTTCTCTTTAGTCTACGACTTTGGTGGCTTTGACAATGGTGCGACTAGTACAGGCTCACCAACACTGCGGTGACAAGAGGAACACGAGCATCATTTGGATCGTGGCAAGAGATCTGGTTTCTGGAAAGGATGGGTTTACTGCAAATTCATCCAAGGTTCCGATGCCGGTTCCAGGTCGTAGAGATGGGTCTCTTATGCCAAGGACCTAGAACCCAAGAACTGAACAGTAGGTCAGCAGTCCATGCCCGAAGGAACCTGCACGCTTCGGCGGGATAAATGAGCAAAGCACGCCCTCCCAAAAATGGCGAAATGCGCCCAACAAATTGCGGAGGAGGGCAAAGAGTGCTCGAAAACATGGTGGAGCATGGCAAAGAGCCACCCGAAACAAGCTGGCAGTACCCGCTCCCGGAATGGAACATGGCAACCTCAGCCTATGGAATGGTAAAGGCCGCAGTGCAAAGCCGGTTACGTCGCACAGGCAACCAGGGAAACCCGTGGAAAAACTTTGGACCATCACCACCTCATGGGCTTCTTGATTCCAAGAAAAAGATCGGGGAATTCCGCTGGGACATTGTGTCTTGTACGGGTTACAACCCGCTGGCTTTGCAAACTGACCCAAAGTTGGGAGTTGGTTCCGTGTTTTTTTTCTCACCTTTTGGGAAGTTTTGGGACAATGTAACGTGGGTTTCCCTTTGACTGCTCCCCCAAAAACGAGCCTAAATTGGCTCCCACGCCAAGAACTTCGCCGCGAGGACGCCCGGGCGCGGGGCATGGGAAGGCGCGGGAGCTGTATTCGTTTTTTCCCCCACGTGCCCTGCGGCGAATGTGAGAGCAGTGATGGGTAATGTTGACCCAGGATTAATAAACCTGTCCCACTATTAGGGGGGTGTTCCCTCCAAAAGTGATGAATCCCCACTAAAAGGGGACGCCCCCCTATTAATCAACCAGGGGTTTATTAATCCGGGGTTAACATTACCCAAAAGGCTTGGCCAAGTTAAGTGCACGCTCTTCATGTGGACACAAACAAGTTCCTGGTGTCATCGCCCTTACGGACAGAAGGGGAGCTGTGCCTTGCACGTTCACATTCAAGCCTACAAAGGGGCAAATAGAACCGGGCCTTATTTTCATGTGAAACCAGGGAGCAGACCCCACATTCGCCCCACAACTCATACTTTTGTCACTTTACGGCCGCTTCTTCAACCGTCCCCAGGCCTGAAAGCTTCTTCTAGAATAAAAAGGGGGCATTCTATCCCTGCTTTAAAGCCATTACAGTCTAGGGGGGTCTTTTTTGCCCCCTCCTTTACCGGCTGGGTGGGTCTTCCCTTTTGGCACAGACGGCTTGGCTCGGCGCAGACGGCTCCAGCTCCGAGTCGCTCCCGCAGGCTGAGCATGGAGATCAGCATCCCGGAGCCCGAGTGCGAGCCCGGGCAGCAAGAGACCTCCACGAGTGTCGAAAAACCGCCGTAGACAGCTGAAAGCTTCAAAGGGCGCTGGGCAAAGGCAAGGAAGGGGAAAGACGAAAGGCAATATCGCCGTAGACCAACTGAGCAGTTTTTCTTCAAATCAAGAGGTCTCGACGAGGGTCGGGCAGTCGAAAAACGCCGTAGACCGAAGCCCAAAGCTTCAAAGGGGGGTGATCTGTTCTACTTTTTTTTCCCCAAATGGAAAGCTAAAGGGGAAGGCGCGGCGATTTTTTGGATTTTGCACAAATTGGAAGGAGCTTTGCGAGTTTTTCCAGAAGGCTGCGCTGGTTCGGGGGACATGGGGCTTGGAGCTTGGGGAAACAGTGGGATCCTGGGTGAGAGGGCGGTTGGGTGGGTGGGTGGGTGGGTGGGTGGGTGGGTGGGTGGGTGGGTGGGTGGGTGGGTGGGTGGGTGGGTGGGTGGGTGGGTGGGTGGGTGGGTGGATGGATGGATGGATGGATGGATGGATGGATGGATGGATGGATGGATGGATGGATGGATGGATGGATGGATGGATGGATGGATGGATGTATGGATGGATGGATGGGTGGGTGGGTGGGTGGGTGAGTGGGTGGATGGCATATTCGAGCCTTTGATTATTGACACGTGCTGCTATTTCTTCGGAACTGCCTGGCAGTTTGTTGGACCGCATGTTGTCTTTCAATCCGCCAATTTGAGGACAGATGGATATATACTGTGGATGGGCCAACTCCTGCACCAGTTGGGATAAATGAAAGCCAATGAATCCCGATAAACAGCCGACTAACTGGTGCGAAGTGGATTTTGTCCATCCACAGTATCCATATTAGAGTAGACTAAATGTGAAGCCGAGTCTGAGCATGTTAATTGGTGTACCCCATATTTGGGCAAAGGTACCCTAAAGCAAACCCGACCTTTTTTGGGAATAGTGAGAAGCACCCAATGCCCACAAACGGTTACCCATTCGTCTCTCGCGTTCTCGTGCGGCGTTGAGACCGATCAGGATTTGCAATCCTATCCTCCCGAGTCCGTGCAGGCAGGATTTGATTGGTTTTCGGAGCTAGAAACCAAATGGGCAACTAGGGCTCAAAATGAAACCACCCAAAGTTGGACCGCAGGGTTTGGTCCATGTTTCCATTTACCAGGGTTCCCATTTGGGTGCCTATTTTTGACCCACAGCCACATGCGAGCGATCTCCCCAATGAGAGCAAAGGCACTCTTTTGGACGCGGACATGAGTAAAACATGAACTGGGACCCGAGTAGAATGACTAAAAGGCCGGGTTATGGAAAATAACCTTTTCTGCTACGGTGGATGAACACAAATCTACTGGGAGGTGGTCTATTTCAGTGATTCACCCATCCCAACAGGTGCAGGATTTTGCCTCTCTGTCTTTGTGTGCCTTTTTTTGGGGGGAGGGGGGGGGTTATTTCAAGGGAATCCAACAAGGACACTGACGATGGCCCTTTAATTATTCATTTGGGCCGGAGTCATTTAAAAGATCCTATTGTACAGCACGTGGATGTATCCTTCAAAGATCCCGGATACACTGCTCGGTAAATTATAGCGACTTCACCTTGTGGTCGGTTCGGAGGTGGAGGGGGGGGGGCAGGGTGGTGATGTCACTCAGGAAGGTTTCTTTCACATGCATTCAATTCCTCATTTTTGGTTGTCGAACAATAATGAGCACCCAAAGAAAAGGTGGCCAGTCAGCGAACCTTGGGCAAGGAGCAACAAAGGTTAGTGAACTACAAACATTTGCCCAGATCAACCTAGAGGCAAAATCCTGGCCACCTGCTAGGGGCAACATGCGTTCTCATGAATTGACAGGAGGATTCGTACCGTCCTGGGAGAGAGGACAGTTGATGGCGTCTCGAGCATTCGCAAGCCAAGGACCCGGCAACGAGCCCTAAACATGACCCGGCTGAGCCAGCATCAGGGGCTATATCAGGGGCTAAATACTTACAATCATTCCCCTCTTTCCAACGATCATGGAAGTGCACAAAGGGGTTCCCCAAAAGGAAAATCGTCTTCCAAAGCCCTCCTGTCAACTTCCATGATTGTTGGAGGGAGGGTATATGTGTTTTTCGTAAGATTTGTACGCTGCCATCTTCATGTGGCAATGCTTCAAGAGTGCCCCGCCCACTTCCGACTCCGAAGGCCCTGAGGATTGCGAGCAAACGAGACGGAAGAGCTTGCGGGTTGGATGTTGGCCGTCCGCTCGATGTGCACAGCATTCGCTGATATGTGTGTGTGTGTGTGCGCGCGCGTGCGCGCGTGCGCATGAATTTCTGTTTGACCCTGGTGCGAGAGACAATACAGTGAATGCGAGAGAAGAAAAGATAGTGGATACAGTCTCTTTCCGAGCAGAACTTGTGCGTGTGTCTTTTTGTTTTTGAGCTTCACCTACCCAAGCAAAGGGGTACTTAGATGGTCTGGGAGTTAGCTAGGTGGTCAGTGACCCTGGTTGTAACCCACTTCCCATGGTCGCAAGCCACCCAAGGGATAGCAACAATTCAGCGATTTGTCCCAGGCCTAAGTATTTACAACGCCCCCCCCCGACTCAGAGACTGGGAGTACCTCAGGCAACCCAATTAATTTGTGGCTTGAGTCGGGTTCTGGAAATCGGTTGGTTTGGTTTTCTGGGTACCTGGATGTGGGTCAGAATTAGGTACCCAAAACCGAACCCTGGTAACTGGAATCATCACCTAAAACCCTGCGGTCCAACTCTTGGCTTAATTTTGACCCATCCCCTGGATGTGAGGACCAAAAGTAAGTATCTCTCCTGAGATGTCTCGCCAGGTGAGGAACACCTTCATCCACGTGGCTTCCGAAGGGCTGACCGGTGGCAACGCCTCGGGCTTGGCCTCCTGCCCGGCGCGGTCCATCGGACAGCTCCGGGACCTCTGGAAGGAGTGGAGCCGAGTGGCCGAGATCCGGAGTCGGAATCCGTGGGGGAAGATCCGAATCGGTTTCCCCCATGGGCCGTGTTTGTTTCCTTTTTTGTTTTTTACAAGGAGAGCGGCCAGATTTTTATTTTTATTTTTTTCCGAACCTCTGCTTCCATGATGGAGGAGAAGGGGGGCTTTTCGAGTGAATCCGGGGATTCCCGAAGAAAGGACCCATAGGGGATGGCTTTTCTCGGGCTCATTCCCTCACTCCCTGCTGGCAGCAGCAAGATAAGTCGATCGTTTCGGAAATTCGACTTCCGATGGAAGTGGGCAGGGCTTTACAAGGAAAGTCTGCCGAAGCCCTCCGGCTTTGATGCTGGAGGGCAGATTGGGCCATGATGGCCTCAAGAAGTCACACCTTTGCGTGGTCTTCCCAACAAGTTTCAAGTCCAGGGACTCGGGGATTGACTTAGCTAACTATGTTTCATTTAAAGGCCTGAACGATTAGAATGGGGTCGTGCGGACCTGAAAGCCCAGTTTAGTCGCTGAAGTCAATCTGCGGAAGTGAGGACCATGGACTGTTGCCCAGTGGTTGTCATAGTAGGACCGTTCAGGTATGAAAGTAGATTCAGCGAAAAGTCAAAGGGGCCTCGAAAGGTGTAGTCTTTGAGGCCATGTGGACCCCGAAACAAAGGCACCAGGCAGATTCATGCCTAGACTTTTCTTGGTGCCCTTTCCGCATTTTTTTTGGGGGGGTTTTTCTGAAGTCAAGTGCCAAACAAAGGGTGCGGAGAGGATAGGGAGGTGTTCCCCCTAAAATTCGGGCCACCATTAATAGGTGTCCAGTGGAGGAGCTCAACACCCTTTATATGGATGGGAAGTTGGAGACATCCTGCGACGTTGGCTTGCATGTCTTCATATCTTCAGGGAATTCCCTGAGACGTTGGCTTGGACTTGTCGCGGGGCTCGAGGATTTGAACCGCTGGTTCTTGTTGGCGGGTATATGGGAAACCATTCCTAACCTCCAAGCCACCAATCCAAGTAGTCAGTTAGAGGGGGAGCTTCTCAAACATGTCTAGATTCCAACCCAGTGATTCCATTTCCCTACATAGTCCGAAGGGAGCCACTTCAAAACCAAGAGGGGCGAATGTTGGTTACCTACAGGCTTGGATCCGCTGGGCAAGGGTAGGACATTGGTGTTCGCTTCGGTTTGGGTTCTATTCGACCCCTGTCTTCGGAAGAAGCCTATCAATGGTTGCTGGTTTTCTTGCAGTCCACCAAATGTCCTGTGCCCGACTTTGGGCGAATGGGAACTTTGGAGTTTTAGCCGTCCTAGGAACATCTCCAAGGGATACGGTAAAAATGGTCACGTGTTTTCAGGAGCTTGTTTCTGAGGTAATCAGAGCAACCTTTGCACCAAACGCCAAAGCCAACTTGCCAAATCGAATCGGCCTTACCTCCGGATTCTTTGGTGTCAGTTTCCCCAGCTACCAGGTCAGAGGGACCTGTCTGAAAGGAAGCCATAAACTCCATACCAGAACCACTGGTATGATTTTCTCCGGATAGATCCAAGGTCAACATTCATTTTCAGGGAATGCCAGCCAGTCTCTGAAGTTAAGCACTAGCAAAATCTGAGGTCTCCTCCAAGACCATTTGAAATCTAGACTTGAAACCGAATTTCTAAGCAATCTTATTTTCTGTGTACAGCGTACCCCTTCTTGGGGCACCAGAGAATGTCACTCACATCGGTTCGCTCTGATCTCGCAGGATGAGGACTCGACCTCCGCGGGGTCCAAGATGGTGATCCGCTTGGAGGATTCGCTGTTCCCCACCATGCCCAGTACCTCGGCGGATTCGATTCGCAGGCGCTGGAGGCATCACTCCAGACTAACATGGAAGCTATCAGGTACTTCGCCCCAAAAACAGAGAAAGAGAAGAGCTCCGCGACGGAAGCGAGAAGGTGCTTTCAGCTCCGAGATGGTTATAAATTATCAAGGCTCACAGTTCAGCCTTGCTAAAAACGCCAATCAAACCAGGTAGTAGCGCCTGATTTACTAACATGAAACCAACTGCTCACAGTGGAAAGGCCAATCAAGAGTCCCCCTTTTTCGGTGGCTTGGTTTGAGGGGGTTGGCGATGAGCACCTTCTCCATTTGCTTCAAACGGAACTGGGGTGAAACCCTAAAACCTCCAATCATGTCGAGGGTCCTTGAGGGTTTATGAGGCCATCCTTGCCCTTTCCATCTAGTCGTTTGCTTCCGCTTAATCCATGTGAGGTTTGGTCAAAAGGACAAACCTGGATCCCCTGATGAGCGCATGCGGCGATTCAAGGTGGCTTGCCTCCACCGCCCAAAGAAGAAGCCAATACGCCATCATCTACCGCAGTAAACGGGTGTGACACTGGCGGAACGCGCACAAATGGGAGCCACCCTACCTATGCGGCTGGTCCGACTGAAATTTCTCCGACAGAGGTGAATTGATTGAGCAATACTGCTTTGTTGGTAGGGATGATCATGGGCCAGCCATGAAAAGGATTTCCATGAGAGCCAGGTTCGATCAACACATCCAGATTTGTCCATCCATTTGCCTTAGGACATGACGACGAGCACTACATGTCCACAGGGGTACTTGTGAGACTTGCCAAAGCCTTCCCTTCTTTCTTACTTGTTTTGCCTGAATTCCAGGATCGATGTCCTTCAACCCGCATAACGCTGGCCCCAAGCTGATGGTCCCTAACCGGGTGTTCACAAACAATGGATATGTGTCAAAGTTTTTTTAAACCGCAGATCTTGGTCTTCCTGGCTTCCCTTTTGTCTGCCATCCCAAGGGCTCCCGTGCTCTCTCGGCCTCCTTTGCTATGGCCTTGCTTTGGCCACATGGGAATGCCTGCACGGTGGATTCCCATCTAGGGTGTGTTGTTTTTTGAGGGTACCCCTTTCTTGGCGGATTTATGGAGAGGAACACCAAAAGCGAGACTACCATTTGGGCGTCCGCTAAAGAAAAGCCCCCCCCCAAATAATATGCCCTCCAATGTATGGTACTTCTCAACGTGGCTTTTTGGTTGAGCATGGCGACGGTTTCGTTTGTATTTTGAATATGGAAGCGGCCATCCGCCGGAACCCGTCCGCGCTCAGGCACCCCGGAGCAGGTGGGCATCCTGGATTGCAGACAGGCGCCACCCTATCACCCGAGAGAGAGTTCTGGTGTTCCTCTGGGTTTCTGTTGCAACGACCGATTCGACTTTGTCCTCAAAACCGATTCGCCTTTTGGATTGCCCAGAAGAAGTTTCCTCAGCAAGTTGGCTGGAGCCATGGAAGCCTTTTAAACCCTGGGATTTGATGGGCAGGTCCCTTGAAGAGCCACACCGAGGCCCTTTGCCAGTTCTCGAGGTAGATTCAAATGAAACGCACTTTCGAAGCACTTTTGGACAGATCCATCAAATCTTTGCTTCTCAGATTCCGGGAAGGGAATAACACGAACTGAAGACCACGTGTGGCTTCTCCCTTTTTTTTGGGACCCGCTTCCAGTTCGGTCCTGGCAACGTCTGGTGGGGCGACAACCCAGCCTAAAGCAAGGAGGAATCTTCTAAGGTTCCATGAACCTTTCCTGGGTTTCATTGCGGGCTTAGCTATTCGTTATGTGCATAGTTGCTTATCTGCTTGTTGCTTTGTGTTTTTTTATGCATGTATGTGTTTACTTATTGTTTTGGGCCTGTCTCAAAGTTAGGGATCTTTTGTGGCTGGTGTTCCTTTTTTCCATAGAATGGCTCAATCAGGAATACCGCAAAATGAAGGCCCCCCCCCCCCAAAAAAAAAAAACGAGAGTCTTGCGTCCTTATTTGAGGGATTCTCCCGGACGGCTTTCTTTCTTGTTTTTGGCCTTTCGAGATGCAGGCTGGCCGATGCCCATAGGGAACAGTTTCGTCTGCAGCCCTCAAGATTCTCCTCCAAAAATATGTCATACACTACTTGGACAAACGTATTTTCCTTCTAGGCGTTGAGCGCAACCCTTTTTCACTAGACACCTTCAGGGGGTTCGGTGATGATGGACTTGCGGCGTGCGGTTCATTGATTTGCGCCCAAATAAGTCTACTTTAACGCAACTGGAAATGCAATCCACTGGGCAGGGCCAGTCGAGGTGGTTGTTTTTTTAATTAATTGGCCCGCGTTGTCCGAAGTCGAGTTTACCAGAGTCACGGGGACAAAAGCTTTCTTCCTCCTGAAGTACTATGGATGGATAGAATCCACACAACGCACCAGTTGTGATGGATGAAGCCTGTGAATGGTTGATAAACCTTCAATCACTGGCTAGGTGCCCCAGTAGTGCCCTTTTACTCTTTTTTGGGGGACTCTGAACATCTGATTTGCTGTGCACAGATGGCAAGGGACTGGGTCCAGCTTGTCAAAAGGAATAAGCCTGAAAATGGCAATGGACTGGTGGGTGACTGCTTAGTAATCCAGCACAAATAACCGGAAGGACTTGCGTTGTAAAGTTAGAAGCAGAAATAAGGGACCTGACCTGGAGTCTGCCAGACCCTTCAAGCATCACTGGGTTGCTAATCTCCCATGATCATGCAGTAATTGTTTTTTTAGTCGCAACCCCATTCTTTAAGTATTGAACGGTTCTTATAGTGCTTCCAATCTGCTTGTTGCTCAGCGGCGGCTTTTGTCGCCCGTCAACTTACCCCCAACGACACCAAGTGGGCCCCAAAATGTGTGGTTTCCGGTTGGCTTGACTAACCACTTCCCAAGTGCGTCTGTCCTTGTCGGCCATAGCGATGTTCTCCTCACGTCTTCTTTTTAGTCATACAGTGGATGGGCGAAATCCGTTCGCACCACTTGGAAACCATGGTTGAAGCCACGGTTTGTTGGTATTTACATTGGGGGAATCGATTCATTCCAGGTTTCTTAGGTGGTGCCCAAGCAGATTTCGTCCACAGCGACTGGCCGGCCGAACCAAAGCCGCTTCGAATCGAATGGATCGCGCAGGGCCTGGCGCAGGCATCTCCGGAGGACCTGAAGGCCGGCGAAATCGGATGGTTCACATTGTATATATATATATATGTTTGTTGGTATGTACACATTTTATTTTTAACATACACATGGCATATCAGAACAACTATATACATATATGAATACGTGTGTCCTTGTTCGGGGAACTCCTTCTTGGTTGTGTTTAAAGGCAGACCAAAAGGACACCGACCATTCTGTGTTTCTTTTTGCCCCTATTCTGAGACAAACTAGATGAGTGTCCAAACCACGGGAGCTTGGGGCGCTGCTCACATACATACATATATATATGTCAATATACATATATACATATATACATATGTGATGGTGTTTGCGGTGACTCTTTTCAGGGCTGATTTAAAGCGAAACCAAATGGACACCTGAATCCATTTTGGCGTATCCCTAGTTTGACACATACCCATATGTTTTTCATTTTCGGGTTGCAACAGAAAGCAGACTCTGAGCAGAACATGTTCAGTGTACCCTTTTTTTGCGGGCCAAGTTGTTCAGTAGCCAGACCACGACCCCCTTCAAAAGTTCATAGGGCACCTGAGTGATGAGTTTCAGCAAACACATGGTTTGAACATGTTTCAACAGGTGATTGGCCCAATCCTGTCTTGAACCTTTATAACTTTTTTCTCAGTCCACATCGAATCGACCTTTTGAGCTTTAGGTGTTCGGTGAACCCCGTATTTCCGTGTTCGGCAACTGAGTGTTGGATGAAATGTGCGTTTTACACATATTCAGCAAAAGCCAAGCTTGTGGCGAAAGGGGGCCGTATTGCTGCACAGTGTGGATGATGCTCTCTTCGCGATGTTTGGGGGGAGTATCTAACAGGGCCCTTCTGCCGAACTTTCGTCCAGTCCCATGGGGGTCGTTCGGATTCTGCACTGCGGACATCCAGACTACGCACAAAATTCGGCGACAACTTCCGTGTGCATGTCTAAAGATGGGTGTGTGTTTGTTTTTTAGGCCCCCCCCCCCCCAATGGTGGTCTTCCCTTTGGTTTCCCTTTAAACCCACAAAGATGGGGTACACTCAAAAAAGACACACCCAAATACCATGTACCTTGCGGCCCTTTTTGACACCTTTGTGGTCCTTTGATGAAATGCATATCTAAATGCATTCTCCCCTGTGTTCGAAGGGATTCGATTTCACAACTGTATGTATATATATACACATACCTACCTACCTACATACATAAATACATACATTCAGACATACGTACATACCTACCTACCTACCTACCTACATACATACATACATACATACATACATACATACATACATACATACATACATACATACATACATACATACATATTCCAGGGAACTTAAGCAACCGGAGCAGCAACCAGTTTCACTTACAGCCGGCATCTGTGGGAGGTACCTAGAAGATGAGTTTCCTTTTGATGGCAACGGGAAAGGGAGGAGGTGTTCCTTCAAAGCAGACAAGGGCGTATTCTTCACGCAAAGACGAGCCAGCCGTATATGTATATGTCTCTATGTATGCACATGTTCATTCCAACCGAGCCACTCTGCACACTTTGGACACTAGGGTTTCGGAACTCGAAAGACGAGGTCTTCGCAAAAGAAACGAGCCCATATGGTCACCCTGACTATATATACATATATATATATATAAGTTCACCGTCCAACCGAGCCACTTTGGACATAGGCCATCCACCCAAAAAGCCCGGCGCCCCTCAAAACAAACGGCGGCCTTCCTTCGCTCTTTCGGTTTCCCTTTTGAAGCACCCCCCCTGGGCTGCCTAGGTGCCACCCCCACCCCACGTCTTTTGCACGTCTCAGGACGTGCCTTTGCCGCCTTTGGAGCCGGCCCCCGGCACCCTGGAGATGCCCTCCATCGGGTCGCGAGGCGCCTGGGGGGGGGGGGGGGTGGCGTTTTCCTGTGGATAAAACACGCGACTTTCGGCTCCTCCCTGCTTTTGGGCTCCCGGCCCGGTCTTTTTTTTTGTGGGGGGGGGGTTGGCGTCAGATCCAATCACTTGAGCTTGTGGTTCAGCTTTGTTTTAGGGGATTGGCTTCATCCAACTACCTGAATCCCCGGAATTCGCGGGTGGCTCCCTTGGTTTCAAAACAGAAGGACAGTCCAACCCATTTGGGGTGCCATCCAACAGCTGACTTCCCGGTTTCCCCCTCCATTCAGAGGGCTTCGCTTGGGGGTCTCCTTGGATTCCCTTTCTTCTTTTCATCTGGCACCTTTCAAAAGGAAAGGGTGCAAAGAAGAGAGCAGCAAATGCAGCAGTGTTGACCCCATAGGAGTCAACAACCCGAGTTTTTTTTTGCTAGGGGGGGTGGTCCTGGGGTCCACATTCGCAGGAACATTCGCTTGGTTGGTTGGGATCGGAAAAAAAGATCATGGCCTTTCCTTGGGCTCGGTTCCGTCGGTGCCTTTCCAGTTGCGGTTTTCTGGATGGGGGGTGAGTTTGCACCGGGAACTTCTGCGGAACTCATGGGGGTGCCCGGATGAAGCAGACCGGGCTGATTTTGAGAGATGGGGTGTTTTCCTTTTAGCGGGGATTCTTCACTTTTGGAGGGAACACCCCACCTATTAATAGGACTTGCTTATGTTTTTGGAGTCAACCCCAGGACCCAGCGCTGGGCGTCTGTGGGGTCCAACTCGTGCGCAGGCCACGGAGCGGGGGATTGCAAGCCTTGCGCCTTCATGCACGCCAAGGGCTGCCGCTCGACCGAGTTGTCTGGTTGGCTTTAAAGGAAAATCAGGAAGAACGCCGTTTTGGGGGGTCCAACCTTAAACAGGGCACACCCAATTTGTCTTTCTTTTTCAGGAGCAGAGAATTGGTGCTCCTTTTTTGCCCAACGGATCGCGTTTGAAATGGGAGGTTTCAACCCTGGCACCAGCCTGGGGTCAGCAACCCGGGAGGTTGCCCTGGTTGAACCAGCGATTTGTACGGGCTCGGTGGCTTTGTGGACAAATCCGGCTTTTGACTTGTGATTCGGGGCAAGATGCCATTGGTTTCAGGTTTCCCCGAGTTGGTGGATTGGGCATTGTCCATCGGTTTCAAGTTTGTTCAAACTCCGCTTGGCAGAAAAGCTGAACTCTCCCGACTTTTCTTTTTTTGAAATCAAAGTAACCGGTTGGACGCGTTTGGACCAGGGCTGAGCGTTGCCAAGCACAAAAAGAAACCACTTCTCAACTCACCCGGCGTTCAGAGTGGGCGCGCTTCAGTGGATTCGTTGTTTTATGTGGTCCCAAGCCACGGGGCTGATGGGGAGCTTTCGCCATGGTAGCCGTCCCACTAAGGTCAAGGCACTAAGCCAAAGGGGCTCCAAATTCATGCTCCGAAAAGAGCGTTAGATGGCCGGTGTGATGTTGTGTGCTTCTTGTGTTTAGTTGTTGTTGTATTTTTGGTGGGTGTGACTTGGGTTGGGGGATTTGGGGATTGTTCCTTTTGGGTGGGTGGGTGGGTGGGGGGGAGTTTGCACAAAAATAAGGGTAACAGGAGCCAAAACGGTGGGGCATTTTCGAGGCACGGCATCTCTGCAAATTACCTTGAGCAGCAATCCCCCATCCCTTCCAGTAGAAAACAAGCTCCCCACCAACTTCAAAGAAGCATCCTCACTCTGGATAGAAAGACAACTAGGGAACAAGGAATTGCTTCATCTGCCTGCAGCATTGGCAAACCTTGTAACTTGCCACATTTCCAGGTTGCCTAGATCTCAGACAAGTAGGGAACAAGGAAAACCCACGCAAGTAACCATGGCATGTGGCAATGTGTGGTTGCAGCCACCTGGGCTCAGCTCACAGTGCAGCCCATGGCCCTTTCTTTGGTGCATTTTGCCAAGGGATGTTAGGACTTTGACTTTTTGCCCAACTAATGGGTTTTGCGTATTAAACCACTGAAAGTTAAACTTTTAGCAGGGGAGCAGACAGCAACCGAGCTTTGCAGATTCCGCCGTTTCGGTGGATTCCAGCCTCAAGATCTTCTTGTATTCGGTTGTTCCCCCCGGAAGGACTGGTTTTTGCAGGCCCTGTTTTGATTATTTTTGCAGAACAAAAACACATAGCACCGAGTCAAGCAAATGGCACGTGTTGGGGGGTTCTGAAAATGTCTTTTACGAGTGGTTTCGTTTTCAGCCACCACATTGTCAGGTATTTTGAGGATGCACTTGAATTGAGCCAGTAGTTGCCAAACGGGATTGGGACCCCACACAATTGTTTTTGTGGTTGTCTTTTTTGCCTCCTGTGAAGAACGCGCCGCATTCTTGGAATCACATGTGAACATACGTGGCCATTCACCTCAAAATGTGGTGGGCCACCTAGGTACTTGAGTCACGCGGCCGCGCCCATGCAAAAAGTCTGCCTTCTGGCAGCGCGCTGAGTGCTTGAGGGACTTTGTTCGCCCTCGAGATCTTGTTGTGGTAGCGGAGCCGGTTAAGACTGGCACAGGGAGTTTGGCTTCGCCCTTGAGGAGCTCGGCGGCACGATCATGCCCAAGGCCGAGGCAGGAAAGGGCAGCGAGCAGCCCTCAGAGAATGCCTACACTGGCAAGGCGGACTCACACGTCCCGGTCTTCAGCAACCTCCAGAAGGATTACCGTGAGTACCGCAAGAGGGCCGAGCTCTACAAGAAGAAGATGGAGCTTGCCGGGCGTCAACAGGAGTGATGACCGGCAGAGCTTGGGATTTAGTGGACGATATGGAGATGGCCGACCTTCAGAAGGAGGACGCGTTAGACAAGGTCTTCGCTCGTTTGGATGCTGCTGCCTTCAAGCCGGACCTGATGACGGAACTGCCGGACGACTTCGAGGCTTTGTTCGTGAAGCTGCAGCGGAAAGCCGGCCAGACGCTCCAGAATTATCAGACTGAGTTTGGTCGGGTGGAGCGCAGGCTTCGGGCATCGCATCAGGTGGAGCTGCCGGAGAAGGTCAAAGCCTGGTGGTTTCTGCGGAGGAGTGGCGTCAGCCGGGAGCAGCGCCAGATGGTCATGACGCAGATCGGCACTGAGCGCCTTAACTTAGCTGCCGTTGAGCGCGCCATGAATTTCATCATGGGCCAGGACTCCAAGGTGGATGCCTCCCACGGTGGCCATGCCAACAGCAGAAGCCGACCTACGACATGTTCTACTCCGAGGAGGGCCTGTGGCAAGAACCCTATGAGCCGGACACCGAGTACGCCGGAGTGCACTGGCAAGAAGATGAAGATGATGGTTCGTACTATGACATTGCCAGCGAGACCGGTGGCCATTCGGACGGCCCAGGATGAAGGCTTTGACGAGGTTTTCGACGTGGAGGGTTCCGGAGCCCCTTTTCTGGAAAGTCAGGGAAGGGACGGGGAAAATCTCCGAAAGGCGGCAGCAAGAAGGGCGGCAAGAACAAGATGCCGCCGCAGAAGGGCGGTGCGAAAAACAGGGCAGGGGCCGGTCTTGGCCGAAATCTGTGCCTGCGATGTGGGCAAGCTGGTCACTTTGCCCGCAACTGCCCCAGCAAGTCGGATAAGAAGCGGAAGGTTGATGAGAATTCTGACGCGACCGTGATGATGGTGGAGGAACACTACGATCTGGCCGCGGAAGACGAGAAGGACGACACCGTCAACACCGCTGTGCAGGACGGCGGGGCCGCTTCGGTTCTTGGGAGCCACCGCTACATCAGGAAGTACATGCGTTACCTCTTGGAGAACGGCTATGACGCCCGCGAGATCGACATCTTCAGATGCCAGAAAGGCTTCAGATACGGCAACTCCGAGAAGGAGGTCACTAACCTGTGCGTGCTGCTGCCGATCCACGTGGGGGCAGGAAGATCAAGGTGCTCACCTACGCGAACAAGGGCACGGCGCCGATCCTCTTCGGCAGGCCCATCATGGAGAAATTGGGCCTCCAGCTGGACTGCAGCGAGAAGAAGATGAAGTGGCCTAACGGTGAGTGGCATGACGTCCCGCTGGGTCCGAAGGGAGAGTACCTCGTCAACTTGGTGGAGGACAAGTCCATGCACCGGTTGATTCACAAGGAGATCGCTTTCGAGACCCTGATCCCGGAGGACTTCATGGACCACGTGGATTTCTCGGAGAAGTTGCCGCCCAGCGTCATCTTGGGTGAGACGGAAGAGTGCTTCGAGGAGGGCTGCCTCGTGGCCGAAGATTTCGGCATGACTTTGAAAGCTGCAGGCAGAGGTCTTTGACAAGGGGGTCGAGACTCCTCCAGCCACGCCGGAGGATGAGGAGAAGAAGGACGACCTGCAGGAGGACAGCCCCCCGAGCTATCCGACAGCAAGCGTAGGAGGTGATGGGAATCCAGGAGACGGAGATTGTGTGAAAAGGCTGAGAGCAAAGGATCTCCGGAAGCTGATCTATGGCACCACCAAGGCCATCAAGGATCAGGAGATTCTCCTGGCAGAGGCAAACCGGATCCCTGTCAAAGGGAGAGAGCGCCGTGTGGTATGGGAGGTCTTCGCCGGGAAGGCCAGGACATCATCCTACCTCGAGAAGATGGATGACGTCAAGGTTGAGACCTTTTCCCTGCCGGAATGGCACCAAGGAGAGGACAGATGAGGTGCTGATGACCCCCATGCGCAAGCTTTGGTCAACGCTCCAGGAGCTTTCTCTGGCGGCTCATCCAGAACGCCAAGAACAGCTGGAGGCTACGCAAGGAGAACCACGACACGATCTTCATGATGTGTGCCGTGACCTATGAGTGTCAGAGACGCGGCAGCCATCGAGCACCCATGGAAGAGCAGGGCATGGAGGACAATTGCCTTCGCTTCCCTGGAAGGATACTGGACCTACGTGGACCAGTGCCAGTACGGCTTGAGGCTGCCGGACAACAACGGCACCTGGGGACCCGTCAGGAAGGCTACATGCTTCCTCACCACCAAGGTTTCACTCTATCTTGGCCTGCAACGAACATGCGCTCGCCAGCATCAACATGTTCCCATCGAGGGCTACGTGCCTGGTTTGGGCCTGGGGAGTGAGGTGGTGGAGTCCTACCCGCCGCGCCTTGCAAAGCGCCTTGCGCAGCTGCTCGTACTGACGCAGAGCTCATCAACGCGGTAGAAGATGATGAGGCGAAGAAGGAGGAGCAAGGCGACGTGGTGCCGAAGGAGGTGGAAGATCAGATGCCGGAAGCAGATGAGATCAAGCAGAACAAGGAGCTGCGCACCTCGGACATCCTTCGGCAGAGGTCTTGGCCAAGATGCTGGAGGAGGTGCAGGCGACGGGCGATGTGATGAAAGCTGCTCTATGCGAGAAAGGCGCCAAGCGGCACAGCACCAGCAGCTGGCCTCACCGCCAAGGAGTTCAACACAAGGCTCCTCATCGACTCAGCCTGGGTCGATACGGACAATGGCCGGAGATGCGTGGTGACCGTGTTGGACCAGGCAACCCGCTACGTATCAGGTTGCTCAAGACCGAGCAGTCGGTCGACTTCATCAAGGGCATGGAGCGCTCGTGGGTGACGCATTGGGGCTGCCCCAAATTTGTCCGAGTGGACGAAGCCAAGGGCTGGGCATCACTTGCCGTGAGAGAATGGTGTTCAGACAGGGGGTCCTTGAGGTTGTCGTTGCAGAGTCCCACAATTGGCTGGGGGCAGTCGAGCGGAAGCATCAAGTTGTGCGCCGGGCGCTGGAGCTCTTCATGGATGAGGAGGGCGGCCGCAATGAGACGAACCTCGTGAAGGCCGCAATCTACGTGCCCCAGCAGATCAACAGCTTGAGCATCCACAAGCGCTACACGCCTACTCAGTGGGTGATGGGGAAATCCACACAGACCCAGATCTCTCTGAGCGGCGTCAACCCCGGCATCCAGCCACTTGATGACCAAGGCACCTTTGCGCAGGTGCAGAAGAGACGCCTCAACGCCCAGATCGCCTTCCTCAAAGCTGACACAGACGCACGACTCCGACGTGCGATGAACCAGAACTTCAGGGAAAATCAGGAGGAGGTGACGATCGGACAGTTGGTGTGATACTGGCGAGTGTCAAGGGCCAGCCACCTGCTAAAGGCGATCTGCAAAGGGCCCGCCCGCGTTGTGGCGATCGAGCAGGACAGCAATGGCAACCCCAGCGTGATCTGGGTGGCTCATGGCACGTCCCTGCTGCGGTGCTCACCAAAGCAGGTGAGGCCGATGGTGGAGGAGAGTGGTCATCCTCCCCAGGCCGATCCACCAGCTGCGCTTCAGGATCTACAAGCGCTGAAAGCGAGAAGCACCACGCAGTTCAGGGACATCGCCCAGGAGCCCGACAACGAGATCCATGCCGACATTGAGGACCAGATGGACGACTACGAGCCCAGCATCATTGGCGAGGATGAGCAGATGGTTGAAGCTCCTGCTGGAAGAAGGAAAACGGAGACGGACAGGCAGCAAGCCGCCAGCCACAGACAAGGGCACCGTCACCATCAGCGAACCACCGGATGCTGCACCCAACACCTCACCTACTACAAGCACGGACCAGGTGGCAGCAGTACCGGTTCCGGATGAAGTTTTGGGGAGCTCATGGCTGATGAGATCCTGCCGGACGAGCTGAGTTTTGATGATGTGCGGGTCGTCAGCGGTGACTTGCCAACAGGCTGGACGGTGGTGGAAGGATGTCTGGAGCTGGACGAAGTGTGGTTGACGCGCGCGGAAACGAAGCGTCGAAGCGGAACGCCTCACAGTGGAGCAGCGGCAGCAGTTCATGGAGGCCAAGGTCGAGGAGTTGAACAGCTATTTCAGAAATGCCGTGTGGTGTGGACCTTTGCGGAGCCTGGCGCGCATGGGACCGGCAGAGTCATTACTGCCCGGCGGGTGCTGACCTGGAAACGGGTCGACGAGGGAGACGACGGCAACTCCCGGTACAAGGCAAAAGCGCGCGTCGTGCTGCGAGGTTTTCAAGACCCAGACAATAAGCTCACCTTGACAAGGCGGCGCCGACAGGAAGCAGGAACGCCAAGATGATTCAGCTCATGGTGTGCGTGAACCAGCGGTGGCAGCTGCTGTGTGGAGATGTGCGAGCAGCATTTCTGAGCGGCGAGAAGTTTGACAGGGACATCATAGTGGTGCCAGACTGTGCAGCACTCCTTGGGCAGCGTGCGCCTCAACAAGTCGGCCTACGGTCTGGCCGACGCACCCCTCCTATGGTGGACTGAAGCTGACCGGCGGCTCCGGACAATTCCACTTCGGCATCATCCCCTGGACAAGTGTGCGTACATGTACTACAACAAGCAGGGCGTGCTGAAGGGCTTGGTCCACGTCAATGACATGATGATTGGGGGCGACCACGGAGACCGAGACTTCTCGGACGCCCTGGAGCGCATCAAGAAGAGCTTCGACTTCGGCAAGTGGGCCGTCCTCGACGCGAAGAACCCCATGGTTTTCTGTGGCGGCCGAATCAAGATGACCGCGCAGAAAGAGCTCACGCTGGACTATGAGGAGTTCTTCAAGAAGGTTCTGCCCATCAACATCGTCAAGAGCAGGAACATAGACGAGCCCCTCAATGCGAGATCAACAAAGCTCTTGGGCTGATCGGAGCCCTGCAATGGCCTGCTGGCCTTTTCTCAACGCCTCGGTGTCCATTTTGGCTGGAGGCTTGAACAAGGGCGATGGCAAGTACCTCCAGGAGCTCAACAAGATGCTCAGGTTTGCGAAGGCCAGCCGCCAGGTGGCTTTGCGCATTGCGAAGATCGCCCCTAGCCTGGAGAAGATTTGCTTCGTGTGTTTCAGTGACGCTGTGCTGAGCGTCAGGAGCGACCTGTCCAGCCAGGGCGGCTTCATGATTGTGGCCTGGAGGTGCTGATCGGCAAGGCGGTACCCTACATCCTGGTGTCGTGGAGGTCTTTCAAGCTTCCACGGGTGTCGCTCGAGCCTAGCTGCGGAGGCACATGCTTCTTCGGCATCATTGAAGGTTGAAGGCGGAGTGGAGATGGGTCAGCAGTGAAAGGCAGATGGCCGATGGGCTGACCAAGCTCGCTGCGCGACAGGATATGGCAGATGTCATGTCGTATGGGATGGTGCAGCTGGTGCACAACCCGGAGTTCACCGCGGCGAAGAAGAAGACGCACAAGGAGATCGAGAAGCCCAGGGGGAGCATGACGGGAACGATCAGGAAGAACAACAACGGAAAGGGGGCCAAGTCGGGGTCCAAGGTGGCAGACGCGATCATGGTGGCGATGGCGGCGGGCAGCGCGACAGGAGCAAACGCAGAGAAGCCAGCAATGGTGGACTCGGCTGGCGGTTTTGAGTTTGAGGTGATGATGCTGATCAACATCTTCATGGTGGCGGCACTGGCATTCATGGTGGGCCGCCTGTGGAGCCGGAAGACCGAGCAGGACCTGGCTGAGAAGGTCAAGCACCTCAACGACAAGATCAAACATGTCGAGGAGGTGGCGAAGCTGGCCCGCGAGGACGCGGATCATTGGGAGGAGGCAGTGAGCCGGGCGCAGGAAGACATAGACCAGATAAGGTCTCGTAGATTTTTCATGGCCAGGCAAGGTGTGAGACTCCACACACGCCAGGATTGGCATACTTGCGGAACAGCCAGATAGAGCTGCATCCGTGTGAATGGTGCTCAGGGCACCCATAGTGCGGTTTGTTCTTTCACGATGTGAAGAACGCGCCGCATTCTTGGAATCACATGTGAACATACGTGGCCATTCACCTCAAGATGTGGTGGGCCACCTAGGTGCTTGAGTCACGCGGCCGCGCCCATGCAAAAAGTCTGCCTTCTGGCAGCGCGCTGAGTCCTTGAGGGACTTCGTTCGCCCTCGAGTTCTTGTTGCCTCCCTTAAACCGAGGTGAAAGGGTGCCGAGCCCCAACGCAACACAAACGCCCGATCCGAGGCAAGAACGGCGCCCTCTGTGCCTTTTGCCACCTCTGCGACCGCACCGAGAAGAAGCGACGCCAGAAGGCGTGGCAGAAATCCGCGTCAGATCCTCCACTGGGCTGTGTCTCAAAAATCTGGCTGGGGATGCCCACAGAGACGCGGATCTGCTTTACCATGGTTAAAGGGTAGCTTTGGATGCTTGGCCCATGAGTCTGGTTCTGCTTGTAGGGTATCAAACTGGAGTTGTTCCCTTGAATCCACTTTATCACTCCGATGCTTGGGGCAGACTTGGATGTTCCTTGCGCAAGTCAGGGAGCTTACGTCAGCTATACCCCCATCAGCTTGACCACTCAGGCGGTACCCTGACTCCATGTAAGCTGACGATCGGAGGGTGCGTAAGACTACTTTCCTTTTGGGGAAGCCCTTTCCAACCACTTTTATTTTGGGGAACCTGTTTTGAACAGGTCCTTAGTTCTATGCTTGGAACTACGTATTCTTGTTCCACATCCCAAAATCTTTCCATGTATATGCTTCTTGTTCCAGACCCTAGAGTTCCATGGGATGTGGACCCCTACGGCTTGGGTGACTTGGGTTTGTCGAAAAGGCCCGGAAAAGGCCCCAAAAAGGGAAGCACCTTGAAACAGACACGGAAAT